CTATATAAATATAAGAGAATCTTTTTTTAGGATCCATAATATTAAGATTTTATAGCATAAAAGACATATAATATTTTCATAATGTCTAAGGTCTCTCAAATTGATCCAGAGAAAATTGGATCCAGATAAATTCTCTGGACTCACAGAATTTCTCTGGACCCAAATCCAGAGAAATTTTCTCCAAAATCAGAGAAATTCCATTTTTTAGCTTTCTACTCATCTCTCAGACCCACTTCATCTTCTTCACCATCTTTATCACAGACATTCAACCTAATAATATACAAATTTTAAGTTTATTCCATTTCACATATTTTCTTAGTAACCAAACACGCAACCACTGATACAAAGTCCATAAAAATTATGCCCTTCCAAACTTAGAGAAATTCTCTTCAAAATCAAAGAAATTCCATTTTCTAGCTCTCTACTTATCTCTCAGACCCACTTCATCTTCTTTACCATCTTCATCGCTGACCTTCAACCTAATAATATTTAAATTTTTAAGTTTCTTCCCATTTCACAAATTTTCTCAACAACCAAACACGCAACCACTGATACAAAGTCTAGAGAAATTCTTCCCAAAATTTCTCAGAATTTCTCAGGACTCCCAGAATTTCTCTGCAATCCCCAACCTAGATCAAACTAGAGAAATTTCCAGTCAAACCTTTCCAAAGAAATTTTCTCAAACCCAGAGAAATTCTCTCCAGAATCAGAGAAATTCCATTTCTGTGATTTCCAACATCTATCAAACCCACTTCATCTTTAACAGTCTTTAATGATGAGCAGCTTACCACTACTATCAGAAAGCCCGTACTCCATGGCCGTTTATAACAAAATCAAGAGCATAAGTTCGCCTTAAAAACCCCCAAATCCGTAGCACCACTCCAGAGCCAACAATTCATGAGTAATTGTAATTGTAACAACAACAAAGGAGATAACAAAATATGAAATTCTATAAAATTAAAAAAACAAACAAACAAACAAATAACTGGGGATTAGATCAAATATGTTCCTGTGTGTGAAGAATTTGAAAAAATTAATGCACCTGCAGTGTTGGTACCCTGAAGTTTTGACAAGGAAAAATAGCAAAAGAAAGAGCTGTACGAAAAATGACACACACGGAAAGAGAGATTGGTGGCCCACGGTGGCCATTAGTAGTTCATGGCGTTCCACAATGGTTTGGTTTTTGGTGGTTTGGCAAGAGAATGATGGATAATAGAGAATGCGAGCGATACAGAGATCAGAGAGAGAGAGAGAGAAAGAGGAGAAGAGATGAATTTAGCAGAAGAGTTTAGAATGAGAGAGAGAGAGAAAAAAAAAATGAGGTTTGATTTGAGAAATTTCTCAGTGATATATAAGTATGGGGGTTGAAGGACCTTAGACATCATAAAATAATATTGTGAATCTTTTTCATTACTAAATATGGGAGAGGGACCTTAGACTAATTTTCCCTAAATATAAACAAACCGTGTCCCTTCTTATAATAATAAAAAAAAGGTCGTCCCCTTATTTTTTACATTGATAATGATTGAAAAACAAAAAAATGATTACTCTTTCTTATTTTCTATGTCTGCTTTTATATTGATATATATAATATTTATAATTGTCTATCATGGTTCAAATCATTGTTTTATCATTTAAATTCTTTAGCCGAATATGTATTTATTTATTGCTTAGTTGTATTTTGGATATAAATCAATTTACCAATAAATTCTCTATACTCTTTTGACAACTAGGTTAAAAGCCAAGACCTCGTTTGTCAACTATATATTTTAATAAAAAAGTCACTATAAGTTGTCACATCACTCTTTATACTTTTTTGCACATTTTTTGTAAAAAATCAAAAAGTTACTAAAATAGCGTATTCCCAAACAAGGCCTTATTGACTTTTTTTTATCACATCACATCTCTATTTTTTTGCATATTTAAAAAAAAAACAAAAAGTCAGCTTTTAACATATTTTTCAAAATAGGCTCACATACCAATTTAAGAAACATGCATAATTGCAGTACTAACAGTTGATGAAAATAAACTACGTGCTACGTGCAATGCATGTGCCCGGCCACTAGTTAACTACAAAAGAATGGCAATTGTCATCCCAAACGTAACTTTTTTAGCTAGGTTAAAATAGTTAAAAAACTAAAAAAATAACTAAAATAACCAAGTTCCCAAACGAGTTATAGGCAATTTAACAAAAAATACTCTTACGCCCGCTATCAATTGTAGACTACTAATTTCAGGCGTGCAACTTGGGTTGGGAGGTTTTTCAAACTCAACCCAAGTTGTGCTAAGACTTGTGCAGGCCCGTCCAAGCCCAATTTGTTACCTGAAATTGTCTGTTCAAGCCTGGTTCAAGCTCGGTTCAAGTTAAACCCAAATCAAGTTGCCTAATTTTACATAAATTTCAAATTTTTTTTGTACAACTATATTATTAATTTATTAAAATTAGACTCTATTTATATTTTTTTTTTTATAGGAATCATTAATAATATCAAAACAAATGAAATAATTTCATAACTAAAATAAATAAATTATAACACCATATAAGGCATAACCAAATGTCTTATGAGTTATAACTAAAATAATATTATAATTAAATAAGAAAATACCATAACTAATAGTGTATATACATCTCTTTTAAAAAAATGTATATAGTAAAATTTCCCAAAACAGCTCGTACAAACACATTGGTGATTGAAATTCACCACGGCTTTGACAAACAATTAAAAAGGTCCAAAAAAAATTAAAAAGTAACTAGAAAAAGTTAAAAAAATAAAAAATTATACAAAAAGTCAAAAAAAATATTTTTTTTTCTATTTTTTACACAATGTTTCTGTAAAAAATTATTCTAAACATACTAATTTTTTATACTTCATATTTTAACTAAAAAATAAAAAATTACTAAAATAATATATTCCCAAAACTAACCTCACATTGGCACAACTATTTTTTTATTTATATAATAATAATTATTATTATTTTATATGACAAGTAATTTTTTTTTTTATGAATTATTTTAAAATGTTTTTTTTTTTTTTTGCCAAATGTTACGTTTCACATAATTTTTAATATTTCAAAAGTGGGTTAAAAAATTTCAAGAATTATCTTTTTGAAAACTGTTAAACACTATTCAGCTTGTTTAGGATTCAACTTTTAGAAAATTGAAATTTTGTGTTTTTTGTATTTTTTTTTTCTTTTTACTGAATTTTTAAATATTTTAAGTAATTTTTTATAAAATTTTTAGATACACCTAACATAAATACAATTACAAAGTATAATATTTGTGAAAAAAACTTTAGAAAATTTACTAAATACCAAAAATATATATATAAAAAAATGAGAATTTAATACATTTTTCGTATTCTTGCGTATTTATTGATTTTTTAAAAATATTTGTTTACAAATGACGTAGTTAGGCCCATAAAGACCATAACCCACTACGAACAACCCAAGCCTATCACTTAGAGCCCAATACACAACTCAATTGATGAGGTCCAGAACAGCTGGAAGCCAACATGGCATGAAGAGCCAATGATATTCAAACATGTGGCAGGTAAAGGAAAAGTCACGTCAGCAAACAAAGATCTGCAAAGTTATTGCCACTACACATCGCCATTAATGCAGCCCTTCACAGCGTTTATTACGACAACAACTCTCCGTCGAGATAGAACAGCTCCACCATGAACAAGGTGAGCTAGAACATAGACTTTCGGCCAAGGTGACAGGTCGGCAGGGATAACGAAATGATTACTATGAGATATAAGCGAAGTCGAAGACAAGAAAAATGTTAAGTTTTTCTATCTCTGATGCATATCTCTACATTCTACTTCTCTCTCTAACTTGCTCGTCGGAGGGTTCGCTGGGGGACTCCCATTCCCCGTTGAACTCTTGTATAGGTTCTCAGGTGGGCTTGGCCATTCAGATATCAGTTGGAGAAGCGTGGACCAGTCTGACCTATTCCCTCTGGAACTCGTCGTATCGTAACTATGTCATCGACAAATATTTTACTTTTAGACATATCTAAATAAGGTGTATCTAAATTTTTTTAAAAATTACTTTATTTTTTAAAATATTAATTAAAAACACAAAAATATGAAAAATAAAAAACTCAATTTTCTAAAAATTAAATTCAGAAAATTGAAACCAAACACACTGATTAGGTCTTTAAATTATTCCATTCGAAATAATTTTGGATTCTTTTCCATTGTTACACTCTTTTACATTTAGGTATTCTTTGGAAATTAGTTTTTTAATTAAAATATGAGCTGAAAAAATCAATACATTGTTTGGTTTTGATTGATGTTCTAAAAATTGATTTTTTAAAATTTTTTTTGTGTATTTTTGTTTTTACTAATTTTTTTTTTTAATATTTTAAGTAAATTTTTTATTTTTTACAAAGTAATTTTATTATTGTATGAAATAGTAGTTTGAATTTTTATTTTCTTGTTAATTCCATTAAATAAAAAATTTGACAAGTATTTATAATTTCTAAAACCAGTAAGAACAATTCATATTTTAAACAAGTTTGAAGAAGTGTATTTATATTTTACCCAAAATATTTACAATTATATGGAGGGACAAGCTTTTAGATGGTTGAAAACAGAGATTCTCACACTTTGACAAATCACTGTGTTTGGTTCTAATTTTTTGGATTTAATTTTTTAAAAATTAAATTTTTTAACTTTCGTGTTTTTATGTTTTTAGTGAATATTTTTATTTTTTAAGCATTTTTTTTAACTCTTTTAGATACACCTTACTTAAATATATTTAAAAAGTAAAATATTTTAAAAAATTAATAAACCTACAAGAATAGAAAAAATATATTAAATTCTCATTTTTTAAATATATTTTCGGTATTTAGTAAATTTTTTAAATAAATTTTTTTATAAATATTATATTTAGATGTATCTAAAAATTAGAAAAAAAAAATACTTAGAATATTAAAAAAAATTAGTAAAAATAAAAAACATGAACAATAAATTTTTTTAATTTTCTTGAAAATCTAGAACAAACCAGCTGATTTGGAACTCACGTTTTGTTTGGAATGCAACAACAGTCGTGCCCTTGTGTTTCAACGCCGACTCTCTGTCTGTCTCTCTCACCATTGAACACAGATTATTGCTCTGTCGCCGATTGTGCTTCGTCACCGACTATTTCTCTGATATTCAGGTTCGTTCGCTCTCTCTCTCTTGTTCATTCTTCTCTCTGAACTGATTTGGGTTGACTTTCGACATCATATCATGTAATAATTTGCTCAACAAAAGAAGAGGTAATGCTTATTTGCTTATTTCCTTGTTGTTTCCCTCAATTTCGTGTCATAATTTGCTTTAGATCTGAGCAATTTGCTAGGGTTTAATAATTTAGGGTTTTGGAATTTCCATCATTTGATTATATATTACGGAATTTGCGCTCTAATTGCTAATTCTGTTTTGTAGAATGAGTAATGAGTAATGGTTTTAGTACTTTCGTTTTGATTATATATATATTTTGCTTTTTTTTACTTTTCATGAAGCATTTGAGGATGTAATCGAATAAAGAAAAATCAAAGGCTGAGTTTTTGTTCTTGCATTTTATAAGCAACCAAATACATTATCAAGGTTTCATTGATTTTTGGTTGGTGTTTTGTTAAACACTTGGGGCATGTGTAGCTTTTTTTCCCCTAGTTACTGTATACACACTCATAGCACTTATTTTGAGTGGAACCACTGGTTCTGGTAGTGGTATATTGAATTGATGAGTCTCTTTGATTGGATATATAAGTTTTAGCATAACATTCTTATTGATGTACTTATAATCATGCGATTACTCATTTCAGTTATCTTCTATATTTCTGTGTTGACAGTGGACTAATGGGTTCATCAACAACCGAGCCTCTTCCTGCAATGCAGGTACAGATATATTGACTCATAATGAAGTAATTAAGGATCCTCTTCAATTTTTATTTTGCGACTGGCTTCTGGAATATTATTTTTGTGCTGCATAGTTTTTATTTTTTTGGATTGAAATACGTGTGGTTCACTTCGTTGCAAAGTTGTGGCATGATAAATGTTGCATAGTCAGCTTCTGCACAGTTGAACTCAGTTTTTAGTTATGGTTAATACACATACTTACTAGTCCTTCTTGTTTAAAACTGCATATTAAGTACAAGACTAGCTGGTACTTTGTATCGTAGCTTTTAGAATAGTAATTCTGTGAATGATAAATCTATCTATTGCTTTTATTACTTTCAGATATTTTTATTATCCCTCCTCCTCCTCCTCCTTGCTGCTACTGCTGCATTTTCCCTTTTTATTTATTTATTTTTTAAATTTTTATAAACCAGCATCCAATTTTGTTGTCATTAGCTACCTTAGCATTAGGAGCTTATCATGTCTCGTGACACTTATGAAGCTTATCTGTATATTGGGAAAGGTTCTTTCTTGTCTTACAATCTAATTTTATAGGAAGTTTTTCTGGAATTTCGTGCTGGTAAAATGTTAATGGAGGGGAAACGGGTTATTCCAGATTCACGTAAAGGGCTTGTCCGCATAGCAAGGGTATGAGATATTAAACATGAACTATTTTTTCATTACTCCAGACTTTTTCTTTATGTAAGCACTGTCATGCAGTATCTGATCAACCCATTAGTACCCATTAGTAATTATTTGATTTTAGACTTGTAAAGTGAAGTTAACTTTTCTTATCTTGTTAGGGTGAAGAAGGATTGGCCCATTTTCAGTGGCTTGATCGAATTCATAATGTTGTTGAAGATGTATCCTAATTCTTATTTATCCCTTTCATAGTTTTTGTCATCAGTATACTGTGTATGACTTGTGCAGCTTGTATTCATTTACTTGATTCCATGTCAATATGCATCAAATCATAGAAAGTGAAATGGATAAAAGTTAGTTTTTCCTTTTTTTTTTTTGATTTTGACTTTGGTGTTTTCTGTTTCTTGTATGTAATCATGCAAAAAATCATAGATGAAGATAATTGGAATCTAAGAAGCAGAGACACGGTCAAAAAAATGGGATATGTACACGGCAGGGACAATGATAAATATTATATATATATATATATATATTTATGTAGATTAATATTACATCCACAAACAATTAACAAAAAACCAATACTAATTCAATATTTAAAGAAAAAACCCATAAATTAACTCTTATCGTTTATGTTCTTTTTATGGATGATCTGTTTATTATTTAAATTTAAGAAAAAAGTAATAAACATTCAACATCAAACATACATAAGAAGCACTAAAGAAGAGGGGAAGAAAAACTAGTTGGTGTGTCCCTTAAAAACAAACTAATTAAATAAACGGACACACAAGCTAGTGTGTCTTGTACGTGTCCGACACCGCTACAGTACCTGTTTTGGAGTGTTAGTACTTCATAGTTTGAAATGCTAGAGGGCTTGTATTACGCCCTGGTTTACCTAACCTGCCTAGGTGAACTAAGTGAGGGTGATTAGGGTAAGTGAACCCGGTTATTTTGAAAAATGACACCATTTAATTAATAATAATGGCCCAATGGCCCAAAATGTCCAATTAAAACCATATCTTGGTTTTGGTACAAATATGTTAGTTTTGGATCCAAAGTTGCATTAGGGTTTACCCGTTTCATCGGTAACATTTTATGGAAATCTGTCTGGTTTTATTTATTTGATGACTTTTTGTAACATAAAGATAATGCCAAATTTACCAAAATACTTGTTACCATTTTAACTTCATTAAAATTTGTTTCTAATGATGGCAAAGTCTTCAATTTTTCAATTTTGTCATGGATTCCAAATAGCACATATTCTCACATTTTTACCATTTTAACCTATTCACATGCATTCTAAGTCCTCTCAAATGAACATACATGCCAACATACCAAATTGTATCAAAAGTAAATAAGTTGTAGCAAGAGTTTAAGGTAGTTAATATGTGTTGAATTGTTTAATTAATACATAACATCATGTCGGCGCCTTACTATTAGCATTTGTAAAATGTTAGCGTGCATGTGACTGCTCCATAGGAAAACAACTAAAAAAGCTAAATACATGAGATACAAATTTAAGCATACAATAAATACATAGAAGTGCATGTATGCATCTTTTTTACTAGAAAGCCATTTTCCATTTTCAATTTTCAAAATCATGGTAGTACCCAAAAATCAAGTCTAATATCATATATTGTGTGTAGAGTCACACCAACCAAAGGACAAAGGCAACCTAATCCCCTGCACGGGTCTATGGTATCTCACTGATGGGCGCCAAGCCCAACTTGTTCAACACCGTACGACAACTTCCAAAACGGCCAACCAGGCCTCAAACTTAAGGCTATGAAACCTATATCAAACTAGTATAATACTTTTACTTGGAGGTTTTTAACTTCAAAATCAAACCCCCAAATCATTTAAAACCAATTTTCAAGTTTACTATGGTATCTCACCGATGGGTGCCAAGCCCAACTTGTTCAACACCATACCACAACTTCCAGAATGGCCAAATGGGCCTCAAACTTAAGGTTATCAAGCCTATAAATATTCGTATTTGGAGGTTTTTAACTTCAAAATCAAACCCCCAAATTCTTTAAAATCAGTTTTCAAGTTTACTTGAATTCTCATCTTGTTCATATGACATGATGCCTTTGTTTTTGATTTCTAGAGACTGAAAGGCTATTTGCCATGTGTAATTTTGTTACTTTTTTCTTTCTTTTCTTTTCTCTTGGTCAACTTCTTCTTCTCCTTGATGTTCTTTGTAGCTTTGTTTCTTTTTTTTCTTTTTTTAATTAATAATTTTTGTTGTTGCTGATGAAAAAACAAACATATGCATTTTTTTTTGTTGAACTTCATCTTTCATGTCATCCAATTTTTACAGAAACTTTTTTAATTATTCAAACATATATATGGATGTATGGACATATATATTCGGCTGTTCTCACATCCTCATAGTGCCCCTGTCCTACTCATTTTGTATGTGTTTGTATTTGTGGCTTATTTCACTTCTCATTTCTTATTTACGAATATGAGTTCTAAGTCCTTATTAGCTTAAGTCTCTTAGAATGGTGCATAGCCCTCTGTGTGTGTGTGAGTGAGATCTTATTTTGTTGTTATTAGCTGTGGTGTTCATATTATTGTATATCTGCCATGGCTGGATATTGTGGTTTTCTTTGACCTAAAGTAAATAGGATCAGATTGTTTTTCCCGAGGAGGCAGTTTTTGAGAAGGTATCTCAATTTATCTTTTTTTGGATAAGATCTTTTTAGGATTTCTTAATGCTCATTCATTGTTGTATTTGTTTTTTGACTACTCAGGTTACGCAAGCATCTGGAAGGGTTTACATCTTAAAGTTCAATATGGATGATAGAAAGTTCTTCTTTTGGATGCAGGTCATTTCTACTGATCAAGTTTTTCTTCATTTGTTTGTGTAGAGCTTGAGATTCTGACCATTCTTGCTTGAACTGGTTCCAGGAGCCAAATGCAGAAGGTGACTCACAATTATGTGACTCAGTTAACTTTTACATCAACCGACCATTAGGTATATGAAGTTCAGTTGGTGTTTTGATACTCAAAATTTGCTTTTGCAAAATAATGAAACCTTATCCTGGTGTTCTGGTTCTCAAACTATGCTTTCACAACATAATGAAACCTTATCCTGGTTTATTAAAATTAGCTACATGGATCTGTTTACCCTATGCTCTATCTGAAGTAATAATTTTTTTTCTAGATCATAAGCCATCTGTTTTTTTCTTGTCTGCATGTAATTGCATCTATTTTGGTCTTCCTGTTGTTTTAGTTTCACCATGTTATTCATTCTCAATGCAGTTATTGATATAGTTCGCAATTATTACCTGAATCCGTGTCTCGTTTGACAAACTTTTTTGTTAGCTTGGCTTGGTATATAACTTGAAATATAAGTCCTAATTAAGGTAACATTCATTGGGGGCGGTTGGGCCTCTCAAAACTGGTTTCTAAGCCTTGGAAGTCTTTCAAGGGAAGATATGGATACTTAGTCGGCCAATTGAGGACTTCTAGAAGAATTCATTCAATTATAAGCTTGTTTAGGTGATGCTGGTAGAAGTCACTTTCAATAATTAACTTTCACGAAATTGGTTCAGACTTACTTGAAAATTGTTGTGCTGACAATTTTTGTTTGCATATTTATACTACTATAAAGCAAACAGCCACAGTGAAGCCGGCTCACACTGTTAACTGTTTGGAGCAATTTTCTAACCCTATTGCCAATCTAATCGTTTCTCTTGTGCATATGTAGTGTGTGCCAACACTTCTAATTCTAGTTATGTTAGTCCTATTTTTCTAATTATCTAGTAAATACTATTATAAAGCAAACAGCCATGGTGGTGTAGACAAAGGCAGTTCACGTTGTAACTGTTTGGAACAGTTTCTGACCCTGTTTAACCATTTCAATTTGTAATTGTCAATCTAATTGTTTCACTTGTGCACACGTAATGTGTGCCAACACTTCTAATTCTAGTTATGTTAGACCTATTTTTCTAATTATCTAGAAAATTTACAACCTCTAATATCTGCTGATCTAAATACGTTAGTAATCTCTATTTTCTCCTCTTTCTTTGCTTCCCCCCCCCCCCGCCCGCAAATTTCGGCTTTTTATAATTCATCATCATCATTCATTCCCAATCTTTTTTTCCGGTGCAATCCCTACATAAGAGAAGCCTGATATTCTTTTATTATTTTTTCTTTTTTTTGCCCTATTCCGTGTTCAAACATTAAGATATGTGCACCTACATCCTTGCAGTAATTGAGGAAATTTCATGCTCAGGTAGTAATTGAATTCAGCAACTTGAATTATGCTGATTAGAGGAGTTTTCATTTTTATATGGTGCGTGGAGGTAGTTCCAGTAGATAACACTTAACTTTCACTGATGAGCAATTGCTATTTCTTCTACCTTAACTTCTTTCTTTGTGTTTTGTCCCTAAACTTGCTCGGAACATCTATGCTATTATTAAAAGGCAACACCTCAATTGGCGTCTCATGCCTGATAGATTTTTAGTATACCTAAATTACCCTGTGCTCTAGAACCTTTGAATTCTATTTTGACTTGACGATAATGACGAAATTACCTAAACCACGTCTGCATCCTTTTCCAGAACCACTATTCCCATCCTACCTAAAATGCAGCATCACAAACTGTAGTTGGTTACATTATGAATAATAAAATATGACAATGAATCTTACTTGACCCAAAAAAAAATTAAAAAATAAAAAAAAAAAGAGCAAAAGTTTTGTATGCCAATTTTTTTTCCCCCAACATTGTGAAGATGCTATTAATTACAATCCAAATTCAACTTTCTTGAACCATAAAATCATAGTTTTCTTGGAGACGATCAATTTGCCTCTTAAAGGTGATGAGTTGGCACCTCTAATTATTTGTCATATTTGCACATAAGCTATCCTTTTGAGCCCTCCTTCATCTCAATGTTATCTTAAAATCAACATGTACTTCTAAACCACTTGCATCCTATCTGGTTGATTTAAAAATTTCAGTGTTTCATTTTAATGGATGTGGTTTAGGTTAAACTTTTACTCTTAGTATGCCTAGATTCACGGACACTTATATTTGCTTAAATTTTCAGGTATTATTTTGCTTTTAGTGTGTCTGGGATAGTCAAATCTTAAGACCTCAATCAGGTTTAATTGTGAGACATTTTCCCACTAACTTGGAACTGATATATATATATATGTATATTTTCCTTTTTTTGTAGAGTTCCCTGGTGAGGAAGAGCCTGATGCTTCTGTTCCGTTACAGAATTCTGAAGACATGGTTGAGGATGATATCTCATCAAGGTAGTAATGTTAAGTGCCCAATGCACCACATGGGCTGCGCTCTTTTTTGTGTATGAAAAATTAACTTTTTATTCTTTAAGGTAAAATTGGTGATGAAGATTATGACTTAATGGTTAATGTGGATAACCTCTGTGTATGAATATAATTAGGAACTAAGCATGTTGGCTTGAACCCTTGACTTCCCACTTGGTTGTCCAGTATAGTACACCTAGGCTACAATGATGTAAGTGGGATGTGCCGAATAGGGGTGTTTGCGGGTCGGGTTGGGTTGGGTTTACCGTTGGCCCATCATCTACCAAACTGAACATCTCAGGTTGGAAGTCTCCTCAGCCATTCCGGACTGATAACCTTTTCGAAATAGACCGAGACAAACTTGGTGGAATTCAGAGGACATCCGGACATTCGGGTGGACGTCCCCAAGGACATCCGGGTGGTCTTCCGGGTGGACTTCCTCAGGCAAAATTTTGACAAAAAACACGGCCTGTGCATCAGAGTTCTTTGCAGAGAGTGTGAAAAATTGATTTCAAAACCATAACCAAACATCATACTCAAACACACGTGTAGAAAATTGATTACAAATCACAACCAAACAGAGCCTAACTTTTTATTCTTTAAGGTAAAATTGGTGATGAAGATTATGACTTAATGGTTAATGTGGATAACCTCTGTGTATGAATATAATTAGGAACTAAGCATGTTGGCTTGAACCCTTGACTTCCCACTTGGTTGTCCAGTATAGTACACCTAGGCTACAATGATGTAAGTGGGATGTGCCGAATAGGGGTGTTTGCGGGTCGGGTTGGGTTTACCGTTGGCCCATCATCTACCAAACTGAACATCTCAGGTTGGAAGTCTCCTCAGCCATTCCGGACTGATAACCTTTTCGAAATAGACCGAGACAAACTTGGTGCAGTGAAAGAATGCAATACATATATAAAGCAAGAATTTGACATATGTACTAAAAATATATATCAGAGTAGTTATAGATTTGAGAGATCTTACCAATATATTTACAATCTGAGAGAGGTCAACCAAATAGTTATAGAGTTGAGAGATCTTACCAAAATGTTTACAGATCTGGGAGAGATGAAGCACAGATTTGAGAATATTCAACCAAATAGTTACGGATTTGCGAGATATCTACCAAAATGGTGTTGTGCCTTCTACACAAATAGTTAAAGATTGTGTTTTTCCTTACAAACTATTCACATTATCCCTTCTTTGTGTTCAGTGATGGTGAAGAGTCCCCGACGGTCACAAGTTTGGCTAGAATATTGGTGACACCATGAGGGGAGATCGGTGAGATGGAGTTGCAGAGACGTCACTGTTGATTAGACAGGGAGAGAAATCTGACAATGAGAAACAAAACAAAAAAAACAGTGAAAGATGAGGAAGAAAGAAAATCAGAAGAGGGATGGAAAATCTCAAAACAAATGAATGAATGAGAGGGGGTTGTTCGGTGAGTGAGGGATAGGGATGACACAGGCACCATTGAGATGGTGCCACGTGGAAGGATGAGATTTATTTATTAATATAATTCGGTCAGGTCGGGTAGGGTAGATTGGTTTCAATGTCACTACACCGGCTACCCGAGCCAAAACCTGAACAGATTGAGTTCTTCGAACTGCAGCCGACCACAATCATGTTCGAAACCGTCCACATACCTCACGGTTCAGTCGCATAGATCGGGTTAATAACACTCGTGCCAAGCATGTGAGTGTGTTAGTGGAGGTGCCTATGTTTATAAATAGCTGTTATGGCTCTCATAACTAACTTTTGAATCATTTGACATTGAATATGTCTAAGATTGCTTTAGAGTTTCTCTCACTCTAGAATTCTCTAGAGTTTCTCTCTCTACAGGTTTGTCTCTTTGGACTTCGATTCCATCATTTTTGTGTTAGAGCTGAGATTTTGTTCTTGTTCTTGTTCCATGAATGGAGTGTATGAATTGTGAGGAATTCACAAACCTAAGAATCGTAACCCTAGTTTGGCAAAATTGTGTGTTAAAGTGAGCATTCATTCTGGTTTGAGAAGCCTTTGTGATAGTTGCTGAAGGTTGTGAACCCTAGCTGGAACACTGTGAGGTCGAGATCTCGTTTGGACTGCATTGAATCCTAATTTGAAGCTTTGTCGAATGTATCAAAGTCATTTTGGCATACAGCTTCACATGAATCAATGTGATTGACAAATCAAAGTCCACTTTTGGATCGTTTGTGATTCGATGAGTATTGATTTTGAATTTGAAGCTGCGACTTCCAATGTTGATTGAGTAACTCAATCATATATAGGGCTGAGCCAAAAAAAAAATTGAAAAACTTGCAAACTGGTCCGATCCAAACCAAATTGCACTATTTGGTTTGGTTTTTTCAATACATGGTCTGGTCCTAATTTTTAAAATAAGCGAGCCATACTTCACAATTTGGTACATGGTTTTATAGGATGGATACAAGGAAATAGAAAAGAAGGAATGAGAGAGATTTGAGACAAAAATAGAATCACCTTGCTTGGTTTGGGTTTTCTAAAAATACTTTTCAGAAAATCCTACTTTCTTGCTTTTTTTATTTTTTTGTTTTTACTAATTTTTTTTAATATTTTAAGCAATTTTTTTAATTTTTAGACACACCTAACATAAATACACTTAAAAGTATAATTTTCGTAAAAAAATCTTTAAAAAATTCACTAATTACCAAAAATACAAAATAAATAAATAAATAAAATGAAAATTTAGTATATTTTTTGTATTTTTGTGTATTTATTAATTTTTTGAAATATTTTTCCACAAATATTTTACTTTTTAGATACATCTAGGTAAGGTGCATCTAAAAAAGTAAAAAATATGCTTAAAATTTTAAAAATATTTATTAAAAACAAAAAAACATGAAAAATAAAAAACACATTTTTTAGAAAACTAAAACCAAACACACTGAATATTTCCAAGACTAAGGGAGTAGTAAATAGAGCATATTCAAAGAGAGAAGATAAGAAATAGGGGAGAACATAAAAGAAAAAGAAGAGACAAGGAGAGTCGAGATAGAAAAATTTAGGTGAGAAAAAGAGAGTTTTCCAAATCAACACTATTGTTAACCCATTTGCAAGTGTCTGTATTTCCTTTGAGATGCCAATTTATAGGCTGTGTGAAACCCCAATAACAAGTATTTTACCTTATAAAATTATCCCTACCATAATAACAACATAAAGCCAATATTTGAACCTTGAAACCCAGAAATATCTAAAGTTAAAAGAATACATCAATGTAATTAGAAAATATTTCTAATAGAACTTTAGTGATGGAACTCTCTCTCTAGGGCTATATTATCTCTCTAACATCATGAAGACACAAATTCTACTAGCGTGGAAAATCTTCAATAGCACCAAGGAAGATGACTAGGGTGAGGAAAAGGTGGAGTTGGTGGGTGGATTTACCTTCATGTAGAACTTCGGGGGGATTTAAATTATTTGGAATGTAGGGTGGTTGTTGATATGGAGTCGTTTTTAGGGGAGTTTTCACTCTGTGTTAGATTTATGACTGAGGATAATAGTGAGTGGTGGTCAATGTGAGTTTTAGGCCCTAATATCCCTACATTAAGAAGTTATTTGTGGGAGAATTTAGTTGTCCTTTATGGTTTGTTTGTGCTCTCCTAAGTGGTGTAGGGGGTTGATTCTAATGTATTAGGTTGGTCTTGAAAATCCATAAGGGTCACCCGAAGTATGAGGGACCGTGATGAGTTAATTAGAGATAGTGATTTGATATCCATCTTTGGTTAATGCTCGATTCACATGGTCCAACCCTCATAATTTCATCTGTAATAGATTAGACAAGTTTCTATTTTTTGTTGAGTGTGAGGAAAGTTTTCCAAATGGAAGACAAGAGGTCATTCCTAGATCAACATTGGATCACTATCCTATGATCTTGGAAAGTTGTTCTTTCAAGTGGGGTCTTTCTCCTTTTAGATTTGAGAATATGTGGTTGGAACATCAATCTTTTAAAGATTTATTTATCAAAAAATAAAAAAAAATCTTTTAGAGATTGTTTTAAGGAGTGTTAGTAATTCATAATTGTAGGATTTGGGGATGAGAGGGTTTTAAATTCATGAAGAAACTTAAAATAGTGAAAGATAAGTTAAAGGTTTGGAGTAAAGAAATTTTTGGGGATTTATGGATCATGAGAAATGAGGTCTTGAATAGAATCGAGGAGCTAGAGAATTTAGAAACTGGGAGAGCTCTTGATGAATATGTTACAGTAGAAAGGCAGGATTTAATGATCAAATTGGAGGAAGTGGTGTTTAGGGTGCAAATTTCACAAGGTCGAAAAGCTAAAATTATGAGGTTAAAAGAGGGGATAATAATGCCAAGTTATTTCATAGGGTGGCGAAAGGGGAAAGGAAGAAGTTTATTAAGAGGTTGGGAAAGGCTTCTAGGAGGGTGGAAAATGAAGATCATACAATAGATGAAATTATTACTTTTTATTCTAGGTTTTATACTTTGAATGGGGTCGATAGGTTAGGGATTGAAGGTTTGGACTGGTCTTCAATTGAGGGCAGAAGTCTAGCTGGTTGGAAAGACCGTTTGATGCAGAGGAGATTAGATTGGCAATTTTTAGTGTGATAGGCATAAGGCTCTAAGCCCTGCCGGCTTCACTGTGGCTGTCTTTTAAGATTGTTTGGATGTGATTAGGAGGGATTTAGTATTTTTTTTCTGTATTTTTGCAGAAAGATATTGTGAACTCCTGCCCAAATGCTTTGTTTATTTGTTTAATACCTAAAAAGAATTATTTTTTTAAGGTTGGTGATTTTAAACTGATCAATCTTGTCATATCGTTGTATAAAATTTTGACAAAAGTGCTTTCTAGGTAACTGAAAACAGTTTTTGTCTTGTGGGCTGTGTTAAGGGACAATAGATTTTCAATGTGGTTTTGTTTGCAGATGATGTAATGGAGGAATATAGAGGTGCTAGTAAGGAAGGTGTCGTATTTCCGGCTGATTTTGAGAGAGACGTTAGTTGGAGATAGTGCTCCATTGGGTTATGGCTTAGAGAGGAAGAAAGGAACACTAAATTCTGTCACAAGTTGGATAATTCTCTCAGGAGGTATAATCATATTGTGATCGTGACATATCAAGTATGTTGATTTATGTGAAGAGTTCCAAGATATTGTAAAATGGGGGTGTAGAATAAATGTTGTAATTTGGATATCCTGTGTTGGGACACTATTCTGTTACAAGCCTTACTTTCATCTTTTTCATTTTGCATTATTTTCCCATGATATGATTTATGATCTTCTGGTCTATGTTTTGACGTAAACTCTCAAATTTGTGTTTTACTAAATTTTCTTTTATAGGGCTGGGAATTTGGTTGGCCCAAGCATTGGTGCAGAAGTAACTAGTGATGTCACCTCTTCTGGACCTGTGAAATTGGCAGATCTACAGAGAATACTGAGTAATATTGGGCCTGCTGCTGGTACAATTTAGTTCTCCCTTTAAGGAAAATCTTTTTTGTAAGTTCTTTTGCTTTTGATTGCTTGGGCCTTCGGCCAACTGTTGATTCCTGGTTATTGACATACAGGTGAAGTTGAAGATCCAGATGCAGGTAATAGTTTACATGATTATAGTGTTTCGTCGCTCTGTCTTAACCTGGAAATTGAGGATGCTAGTCAAACTTTTAGTGATGTGGAAAATTGTACTTTCTGTTTTGGGGCTGTGTAGTTAATAAACTGCATCAGCTTCAAAGTTTCTTTAGGACCAAGGGTTCTTTTGTTATCTCATACATCTGCCAGATTTGTTGTAAATGTTACCATGGAAATAGATGTAATGTATTTTGTTAATTATGCAGAAATTAGCAATTTCAACTGAGGACCCAAATAACTATGCAGGGTTCGTCCCACCCTACAAAATTGTATCCACAAGATGCTGTTTTTGGCTCTGAGACTACACTCTGATGATTTAAGCCTCTAGATATCATCAGAAAGAGACTCTCCCTTTTATATTTTAAAATATTCTACCTTCGTTTTTTAATACTAAGAAAATTTCTCTTACACATTACAAAACCATTCAAACCTTTTTTTTCCTAGCAAGCATTGACAAAGTGGAGTGCAGAGTATTGAAAAGTGACCAATTGCACAACAATGGTGTCTATCAGTCAACCCATTTCTTTTATCCTACCCTCTCTTTAGAATGTAAGAAGTATCTATGCTGAACATGGAAGACACTTGGTGAGATTATGGGTATGCGTCCAAGTTTAATTGGTGATCCATATCTCATAGTTTTGGTTTATGATATATTAATTTTTTTGTGAACTGGTGAACCGTCTTTTAATTCATTATCAAGTCGCTAAGGAACTTTGGTCATTGATTCTTCATGGTTTGATTGGGGTGGGTGTTCCCTTTTGGAATGGAGGATCTGTTGGCATTGTTGGCGTGGGGCTAGGGTGGGGGAAGAGGTGAAAAAGGTGTGGAGTTTGATTCCACTACACATTATGTGAATCATTTGGGGAGAAATGATTCAGAGCTCATTTGATGGTAGAGAGGTTTCTTTGTATAGGTTCAAAATTACAGTTATAAGCTTTTTATATAGTTGGGAGTTGGGTGTTGACCAATTTTTGGATTTCAAAGTGCTGTTTGACACTTGTGGAGGTGCATAGAGATCAGTTGTTTCATCTTCATCCACTTTTTACTTGGGTGATATTCTTATAATACCTTTTTGAATAATTAAATTTTATCAGGGTAAATCACAAATACAACCCTTGAAACCAAACCAAGCCTTAAGTCCAATCAAATGGGGTCGGCTACATGAATCCTTCTTCTCCACGCGGCCCTATCAAAGGCCATTTCGTTAGTCAAATTAAGTAGATCCAAATCTCTATTTACAATGCTAGCCAACATTAATCTAGGCCTATCCCCTCCTCTGACACTTCCATCTACCGTTACTGTTATCGTTACAGTATTGTATCTCTTCACTACTGTCTCTGTTGGTCTCCGTTGAATATGACCAAACCATCTCAGTCGATTCTCTCAACTTATCTTCTATCGGTGCTACTCCTACCCATTCCCGAATACACTCATTCCTAATTCTATTTTGTCTAATCTTGTCACACATTCACCTTAGCATCCTTATCTCAGCCACACTCATCTTATCTACATGTTTCTTGGTTGCCCAATATTTCGTCTCATACAACATCGCTAGTCTAATAGCCGTTCTATAGAACTTAGCTTTTAATCTAGTGGATATTTGTTTATCGCACAGTATCCCAGACGCACTTCTCCATTTACACTATCCCGCCTTAATTTTATGGGCCACATCCGCATCAATCTCCCTCGCTGTTGTGATAATTGATCCTAAATAACGAAAATGTTCACTCTTAGGCAGTTCTTGGTTCTCAATCTTCACTTCTCCTCTGCTTTCATTGTTATTATTACTAAATTTACACTCCATGTACTCTGTCTTATTTCTGCTTATCCGGAATCCCTTAGATGCAAGAACTTTTCTCTAACTCTCCAACTTTGTGTTAACTCCTTCTCTAGCCTCATCCACTAACACGATATCGTCTGCAAAAAGCATACACCATGGTACGTCATCTTGAATATTTTTCGTCAACTCATCTATAACTAAAGTAAAAAGATAAGGACTTAAGGTAGATCCTTGGTGTAATCCTACAGTGATAGGAAATTCATTTGTCTCTCTAGTAGGTGATTTAATAGTGGTCACCATCTCTTCATACATGTCTCTAATCACATCAATGTAACCTTTTGTCATCTCTTTCTTCTCTAACACCTACCATATTATATCTCGGACACTTTATCATATGCTTTCTCAAGGTCGATAAATACCATATGAATGTCTCTTTTATTTTCTCTATATTTTTCCATTACTCTTTTCAAAAGATAGATCGCCTCTATTGTTAACCTGCCAGGCATAAATCCAAATTGATTCTCTGACACCTCTATTATATCTCGCAATCGGCATTCCATCACCCTCTCCCACACTTTCATTATACGACACATTAGCTTGATTCCTTTGTAGTTGTTGCAATTCTGGACATCTCCTTTATTCTTATAGATTGGCACGAAAATACTCTTCCTCCACTTATTTGGCATGTTCTTAGTCAACAAAATTTTGCTAAACAACTTAGTGAACCAAGCAATTCTCTTTTTACCCAAACACTTCCGAGCTTCAATAAGGATATCATCGAGTCCCATAGCCTTATTTGATTTCATCTTCTTAAGTGCAATCTACATTTCAAAGTTCCTAATCTTGCGATAGAACCTATAGTCTCGATTTATCGTATTACTGGCTATTTCTTACCTTATTGTCGTACCTCTATATTCCTCATTTAATAGTTTCTCAAAATAGTTCTTTCATTTTTCCTTAATCTCTTTATCCTTCACTAATGACTTAGAATCCTCACTCTTGATGCATTTAACTTGATTAAAATCTTTTATTTTCTTCTCTCGTATCTTAGCAAGTTTGTATACCCTCTTCTCTCCCTCCTTACTATCTAGTTTAGTGTATAGGTCATTATAAGCTTTCGACTTAGCCTCTCTCACTACTTTCTTGACATCCTTATTAGCTAATCTATAGCTCTTAAGGTTTTCCTTAGTTCTATCCTTCTGCCACTTTTTAAAGCACTATTTTTTTTACCTTAACTACCGCTTGAACCTCTTCTTTCCACCACCAAGTTTCCCTAGAGTTAGGTCTCGTTCCTTTCGACTCTCCAAGCACTTCCCTTGAGATTTTCTTCATACAATTGGCCATCGAGTTCCACACAGTGTTAGCATCATCTTCCAAGTCCCAAGTACCTTCCTTGTCCCAAGTACCTTCCTTATCCATTTTATTCTTAAATATTTCTAGTTTAACCCTTTTTAGGTCCTACCATCTCATCCTACGACACCCACCCTTTTAACCACTTTTAGGTCCCACATTTTAAAGAATAAATCTAGTATCAAAATCCTATGTTGAGAGGTCAGGCTCTCTCCAGTAATCACCTTACAATCATTGCATTTTAGGCAGTCCACTTTTCTCACTAAGAAGTAATCTATTTGGCTCTTAACTGACCCACTCTTAAAGGTTATCAAATGCTCCTCTCTCTTCTCATACATAGTATTGGCCATCACCAGGTCAGAAGCCAACGCAAAATCTAAGATACTCTCTCCAGTCTCATTTCTGTGACCAAAACCGTATCCACCGTGCACCCTTTCATAGCCTAGTTTATCTATGCCTACATGGCCATTAAAATCTCCGCCTATAACCAGGTTTTCTCCTACGAGTATCTCCAGTAAGATCTCATCTATTTGTTCCAAAAAATCCCTTTTAGTCTGATCATCTAATCCTACTTGCGGGGCGTACGCACTAATAACGTTCACTATATTCCCTCCAATAACTAGTTTAATTAACATAATCCTATTCCCTTTCCTAATGACCACACTACATTCTCCACAAGACCCTTGACAATGATGATTCTTACCCCATTCCTGCGTCTATCCTTACCACTATTATACAGTTTAAAACCGGTGTCCTCAATTTTCCTAGCTTTCTCACCCGTCCACTTAGTTTATTGTACACAAGCTATATTCACTCTCCTCCTAATCATAACATCTACCAACCCGTGAAGTTTACCAAAAATACTAATATGCTCATTTGGTTTGAAAAAATATAGATACCCTCTTGTCAGAGTTTGTCTTTTAAGGGATAACAGAAAAAGTGAGATTACCTAATACCCTCTCATACCAAAACAAAATTACCCTGTTTCTCCTTCCTCTCTACCAACCTCTCCTTTTGCCTCATGATGGAAGCCATTTCTTCCAACTTCTGTATCAGACAACTCTAAATATCTCAAATGGCAAAGGCCTGTTCTTCAGATACCAAACCTTAAGCATGTAAGAGATGAGCATCTATTCTTGAATTGGCATGTTATCTATTGTAAATGACATGCATGTTAAGCAAAATCTTTATTACACCAGTAGGTTATACTTGAGCCACAACAGTAGAACTCTTCCAACGACCTACGAATTTTCTTCAAACTAAGGCTCGTCTAACGATATCGACTTGTTACAAGACTAGTTTAATCCATTGAAACTCTTCTCTCTTCTTTTTTTTTTCTATATTTTGCAATACCATAGCAGTAGTTTGACTGTATGCGTATATATATAGAAGAAGAAGGGTATTTTGATAGAGGAGAAGAAAAAATCGTGAGGGTAAAATACGTATTTTAATAAGTAGAGCTGTTAACATCATCTAATCTGTTAGTTGACATAACAGTTGACTGAGGGAAGGGGTATTTATTACACAATTTAAAATCTTAAAAAGCGGGATATATTTTCTAGAACCTGAAGGAGTCAATTGTATTTGTTAGATACCTTAGGGGGTGTATATTTGTAATTTACCCATTTCATTATTACTTTGGAAAGAAGGATTATATTTATCACGGCAAAAAAAACAAAAGTTGCTTCAAAGTAGTAAAGTGCTTGTGATCTATACAGTAAGAGATACAAATATTTAGCCGGGTTTTGGTGTTGTGGGAGTCGGGAGTTGGATGAATCTAATGCTTAGACATATGCCTGCAATTGACACCATTATCATGATCCACATATGACAGTCTACAGATCCTCTCCTTGGATGGTTAACTAAAGAATGTCTTCAGGTTAATTATTTCCTAGGAGCTCTCAATTGTGACATGTAAAAAGAGTCATTAAATTGTTCTGTAAGATTTATGACCCTATTGAATGAGAAGATATATGGGGTCTCATACTAATATCTCCTGTGCATTGACTAATTTTTTCCATAATATGATTCTCCTCTTTTGCACTGGTCTTTAGGCTTTGGATTGGGGGATATTTTGAAGCCCGATTTGATATTCCCTTTACTAGAGACTCTTCCAATGGAAGAGCAGCTGACATCATATTTACCTGAGGTAAGTCTTTTTTGAGTTCTGTTGATTCATTAAATTTTTTGTTAATGCTTTTTTTTTTTTTCCTGAAGATTGTTGCGATATTGCAGGGCCAATGGACTCCAGAGGAGTTAATGGATTTACTGCAGAGCCCTCCTTTCCGCCAACAAATAGATTCATTTACTTATGTGAGAAATTGTTCCCCCCCAAACAACAACAACCACCTGTCTTTCTATTATGAATTTATATTTTTGTATAATATCGGCCAATTTTATGAGCCTTATGATTTCTTCTTTGTTTAGGTGCTTCGAACTGGACAGATAGATCTCACTCAATTTGGAATTGACCCAAGTAAATGTAAGCCAGCAACAGTTTCAACCTCCCAATGACTGGATAAATTATTAATTTGGTGACTTTAATTTGTTTGTGATTAATTTCAGGACAAATTATTTTTATCTGCTGATTATATCGCTTTTAGTGTTATAAGAGCTCTTTCAGGTCCAGAGTTGGCAAACTGTGGAGAAAATGATTTTGATTTTTTTTATCTCAAAAAGGAAAAGGAATTTGATAAGTAAAGTGAGGCTTTGTTGGCTTTATTAGTTTGAGTTGTTGAATCAGTCTCAGCTCCATAAAGTTGTACATTGCGGAGAAAATGTTGGTTTAAAATCTATAGCCGTAACTGAATGATCAATTAACAGATTTGGTTTAGCTCAGAGTAGCCAAGACTGTATTTAGTTTGGTGGTTGATATGTAATATACACTATTTTCACGGTCAATAGTTATCTCTTCTTTTTTTGCAGACAAGTTCACTGTTCTGTCTTTCCTTGAGGCACTTGAAGATTCTCTTCCCAAAATGTCAGAATCCGAGGAGACTAGGCAAGGTGAAAAGGATTTAAGCTCTCGGGCCTCTAACCATAGAGATCCGGTGAATGAGGGCCAATAGTGGAGTCAATCTGATTCTTATCCCGTGCTTGTTTCACCGTTGCTGTTTGTTGTGAGGGAAAGGAATTTTACTTGCTTATTTCATACTTCTCATACACATCTACTCAAGTCCAAGTCCAAGTCCAAGTTACGCTTGTATCATCTGCTGCTGTTGGAAGGTGCCATTTTGAGCTATGAAAGTAATGGTGATGAAAGGAGATAAACAAACAGAATTTTTACTAAAACATTATGGAGATTTTGTTTGGGTGAAAACAGTTTTTGGATTTTTTTTTTGTATAATGAAAAATAATTGTCAACCGAGATTGTTTTTGTAGTCTAGAAAATGATTGGATTTGGTACTTATTTTGTTTTATTTTATTTTTTATTTATTAGAGGTGGAAAAATATTTTTCTTACTGGCCTACGACTGTTGGGTCAATCATTACCACCAATACCACTCTTATTGTCACCACCACCACTATTCTAAAAAAACCATTCCCACTATTGTTGCTGCTACTATTGTCACCGCTATGACTCTAGTACCACAATTTAGCCACCATAGTGCTACCACAGCCACGTCAATACCATTATTACTGATTCCACTTCTACGACTACACAGCACAACTGTTGCCACTGTACCCTAGAGCCACTACAACCATCACCACAACATCATCATTATCCATTGTCATTGATGCCTCCATTGCCACCACCATCACACATTCCTTTCATACATACAAACTTGCGGGAAAAAACAGAACTCAAAAGAGCTGTTATGGAATAGCTTAAGATTTGCATGACTACTTAGCTCGAAAAATGTAAAATTTTAGGTATGGGGGCAAAATGATCCATTCAGGATTTATTGTCCACCAAACTAGGCATGCACATTCCCCTTGTGCATGCAAACTTACTGGGAAAAAAAAGGGGCTCAAAACCCCACTTACTGAAGAAAAAAAAATAAAAATAAAACGGAGCTCAGTAGAGCAAGTTAATTATGGGTTAAAGTAACATTTGAATGACAACTTAGTTTTAAAATGTTAATTTTTAGGTATAAGGGGGAAAATTGTCCATTTTGGGGTCAATTGTCAACAAAACTAGGCACACGTCCCTTTCAACCGTATATTTTTTTTCCTCAACATAGATTCCTAATTTTATGATATTAACGCGGTTTATATACACATTTTATCATTAAAAATGTGTTTTGTAAAGACACTTAAATTTAAGTAATAATCTAAGGGAGTGTTTGATAAGTTGATTTAGCACTTTTTTTTTTCTTTTTTTTCTTTTTTTCAGGTACAATGGTGGCCGAAGCCAAAGAAAACAAACTATGTTATTGCTGAATTAGGAGCTCCCACAATTGCATCTCTTTCCATAACCTCTATGTCAGACAATATTTACTGTATTCGAAGAATAGTTTAAGAAAGAAGCGATTTTGTTCGAGTACTAGACATTGAATTAGAATATATAAAATTAAACTATGGAAAAACAGATTCTTTTTTACTATAGAAATAAAACAGAATCTGGAAAACAAAAAATTAAATAACATGAAACCAAAAAATAAGAAAAATACTTACAAAATTATTTTTTTAAAAAAATAATTAAGTCTAGCGTTTGACACTGTTTCTTTAAGATAGATTCATCATCTCTATAGTGCTATCAGAATATGGACGTCTATCTCCCATGATAAAATGATTGACAACAATTAATAGAAGCACTACACACTAATTATTTAGCGAACACAGTCTGTGTATATACTTTTCTCTCACATAAGCAAATGCAAAAAAATGCAAAAAGAAGAAGAACGAAAATTGAATGAATAGAACAAATAGAGGACTGCCTATTTATAGAAAAAATGGTGGCTGTTTGGGACAGAATTGAACAGGCATGAACCTGTTTGAGTTTAAGGGAAAAGCTAGAAAGGTGTGTTGGACCAAACTGCCAACGTTCAGAAATGTTGGGGTCAAAAAGGAATTTATTTTGAATTTCAAACAGAAATTTAAATTCCAAATGGTAGGAATTTAATTAAAAGAAATAAACAAATAAAATTCAAAAGGTTTTAGCCCCAAAAAATAAGCATTGGGCTAGACAACACAAGCCCAATCCAACTTCACACTCGCGCATGGTCCAGTTCAGACTGGCTAGTAGCGACGCACATGTGTGGTTGTGTTTGGGATCAAAAAGAAATTTATTTTGAATTTCAAATAGAAATTTAAATTCCAAACGGTAGAAATTTAATTAAAAAATATAAACAAATAAAATTCAAAAGCTTTTGACCCAAAAAGATAAGTATTGAACTGGACAACACAAGCCCAACCCAACTTCACACTCGCATTTGGTCCGATTCGGACTAGTGGGCGGTGGCGGGCGCGTGTGGTTGTTTTAAGGTCAAAACAAAATTTATTTTGAATTTCAAATGGAAATTTAAATTCCAAACGGTAGGAATTTAATTAAAAAATATAAATAAATAAAATTCAAAAGTTTTTGGCCTAAAAAGATAAGCATTGGACTGGACAACACAAGCCCAACCCAACCTCACATCTGCGCCCCATCTAGGCGGCAGCGTGCACGTGGTTGTTTTTGGGTCCAATGTTTTAAGGCGCACTTTACCCATAACCCCCCCTCCACAAAACTTGGGTGCCCCTTAAGGTCTTCTCCAAGATGCAAACTTAAGGCTTATAAACCCACAACATGTTTGCCTACCTAAGCAATGTGGTACAAGCTTTTCTTCATTCCTTGTGGAAAACTAACCAAAACACCATTTTCATAAAGCTCACTTTAGCATCAATATCTCATTTACCCGATAATGGTTTTGAGCAACCAAATATTCGACCTGAATTGTCACACGACAAAGAACACGTTGCCACATAGACCCGCCAACTTTGGCTCATGAGTTCTACTTTAAAAATAGACTAAAGTTTAGGAAAAGCCTGTTTTTCCCAAACCATTTCTAGCACTTTCTCCTAAATTCAACCTCCCATCTCGCAAGATTTGGTGGCTAGACCAAGCATCTAAAGCCGCTTACGCTAGGTTGTCAGCACACTCATTCATTCACCTCTCGAGGCACAAAACCAATCTCATAGCACCAATCTTTAGCGGCCAACTCCTTGATTTGCCGTCCTAATACGGCTTTCGAATTATATTCATCAAAATTAATTATCAATTGCACACTCTTGAGATCCAATTCCAGTAGCACAAAGCCATAGCCCCTACCATATATGGCCTGAAGTTCTACATGAAGGCAATGAGCAGTCCTGATACAGTACTGAAAACCCACCTGCCAATGACCTTCACATGACCGGATTAAACATCCAATTGTTACATAGCTAGGGGTGTGAAAATGGCCTACGGCATGTGGACGGCGCGCCTGTAGATTGAGGTGGGCTCAGCCTACTAATGCCCAAGCTCGAGCCTAGCCCGCTTAGGCCCAAGCCTGAGCCTAGCCCGAGACCTTAGGCCTAGGCCATCATTTTGAAGGCCGTCCTGACCCATCGGCTTGCTCGAGGCTCGGCCCACCCAAGTCCCAGTGTCATTTTTAGTGAAAAAGAATAAACTTTTGGTAGAAAAAATAGAAAATAAAATGTTTAGGCTCGCCCAGGCTCGACGCAAATCCGAGCCTAGGCCTAGGCCTGTTCAAGGCCCAAATACCTCTAGGCCTGAGCTTGAGCCTAATTTTCTAGCTTGTGGCCTAACCCGAATTTTGGTAGGACCCGAGCGGTCTGACATGGCCGACCTGAGCTTGGGCCTGGGTGGGTCGGGCCGGGCACAATTTACATCCCTATACATAGCCAAAGGAGTCGATGACTGCACCATCTACATTGATTCTTATCCATACCCGAGGCAGCTACCCCGCCAAATCCCTTTCTTTTGCATGATTCCCTCTGAAAGGACCACTTCTCCCACTCTCACTTGAATTAGAGCAATCGGGTCCAAAAGAGTTTGGAAATTTTGTATTAAGTGAGAATTAATTAAGCCCGTTTGATAATCATAATTATTAAAAATTTAATTACCTCTTAAAATGTAACCTAAAATTTAAGAAAATTTTAAATCATATGAAACTTATTTAATTCTGATTAAATTTCGAATGCTGCTATTAGCACCTGTCAAAATTTTTTGGACCCCCCATTTTATAATTTTTTTTTATTACAATTATACCCTAAAGTAAAATTACATTAAAAGACATTATTAAATGGAGCACCCACTTATCAATAAGAACTAATACTCTATAATATTGGACACCCACCCCCACTCCCACCTCAAACTCTAACTCCAACTATACGTATTCCATGTTTGTAAACCCTAAACATGTTACTTTCCATAACCAACTAACATAAATCCTAAATCTATTATTTTTCATAATCATTTTAAATCCTGAATGTATCATCTTCATCACCATCATCAACGCTATTGAACTTGAAAGTTTTGCTTCAAGCATAACGTATACTTCATCACTTATTTCACTGTGTAGAGCAATGGAGGGCGATGACAACAATTCTAGTGAGACCGGCGTTCCATTGATAAGTTTATCTGTCTTGTATTAACATTCTCGGTCGTTTTCGGTCGTTCTTGTTTCGTTCGAGCTGTTCGGTACTGGTTTGCTAACTGTTAGAATTATGTTTGGTAATACAGTACTGAACATAATCCTTTCGTTCAATACATAGGTTCTGAACATTAATGCAGATAGTTAGTTATGTAATTTTTTTTGTTAAACTAACTTAGAATGGAAAAGAGTGAATTGGAATGGATTTAAGTTATGTATTTTAAATGGATTTAATTTATGTTATTTTAAGTTGTGAATTGGAATGGATTCAAGTTACACAGTGATGAACAAATTTTGTTCGGACATACAGTGCTAACAGGATTATTATTGTTCAACAAAATAATTCTGAACAAAATACATTTTTTCGGCTACACAGTGGTGAACAAATTGTTTTGGGCTACATTCAGAATTCTGATGGCGATTCAAATGATGATTCTGATGGCGATTCAGACGATGATTCTATTTTTCCTCATCTTGCAAATGGTTATGCAAATCCCATAGACATTGAAGTATCTTTGATCGATCTCAGCGATGACGAAGATACAAAAAGCAACGAAGAAGATGATAATGAGAGAGGTTACTGATTCGGCGATACGGAGAGCGTTCAGAGAAGATGAGAGTCATCGGAATGCTCCGTTGACGGCCGAGACGGCGACGAGAGTGATGGAGGGTTGGGGTCCAAGAATTTTATATTGGACCAAAGCTCCAAACTCTGAAAATTGAGTGATTCAAGGAAGAAGAGGGATGAAAAATTAGGTGGGTGTGCATTTCATTGTGAAAAATATTATGAATATGTGTAGATTTGGTAATAAGTAGGGTGTCCAAAAAAATATTATTAAAATTTAGGGTTTAGGGTTGGGGTTCAAAGAAATGGGGGGTCCAAAGAATTTTGGTAGGTGCTAATAGCAGCATTCTTTCCTAAATTTTCCAAAATAAAATATTTAGGTGGCGACTCTGAAATCTGGCAAAGTAGTCCATGTTTGGCGCTTTTTGATTCAAAATTGATTTTTCAAAACCAATTGC